TATTTTTTATATTTACAATTATATAGATATATATATATGTTGAGACAATCAATATCACTGTATTCTATCATTATCAGCCCTGTTATGTGCATGGAGATCGTTACCCTCCCGCCACGGAAGGACTGTTTCAATCAATGTTTGGCAATGTGTAGTATTCGGTGTCAACACAAAGGACATTTCGACAACGACAAAAGCTACTTTTTTCTTCTTTTTTTTTCTCTTGAACTAGGAAGACTTTTAGAAGCTGTGGAAATGCCTTTTCACATATATATATATATACTAAGATACATGAATACAGGAATAAAACACACCCTTGAGTAAGCACATATGCAAGGGGCGGCGATATTAGCAGCCGCAGCACTCGCAGAAAGGAGGGGGTGGGGGAGGGGTAAAATAACTTCAACAGAAAGGCAACTTGCAGCAAAGTAACAGCTCCGTTATGTGGAATAATAATAATACACACGAACGCACCATTTCCGAGCATAATCCTAACAAACTACTGATATAGAAACATTGAGCAGTAAGTATTAAGTAAAGTTGTATCATTTTGATATCACCTCCTATTAAGTGATGTAACAAACATATATGCATGATGACCACAACAATTTCTTAAAGCTATCATCTCACCATCCCAATACAACCATGCTTTCTCGTTTCCGTATGGAAGATTTTTGCACATTTTGGAGGAAGAGGTTGAGGTTTCCATACAAAAACCAGTAAGCCCACAAAATACTGGTAAAAGAACCCAAAACAAGTGACACAATATTATGGCAGTACTAGGCACGGGACTAATCTAGCATGATGACTTGGTTTCAACAAATGCAAAATAACTATTGCCTAAAAGCTCATTAATCACTTTTTTTTACTTTTTTTTTTACTTCGTCTTAAATACATGACAATGAGAAGTTTACTCATTGGATACCCAAGTACCAAAAACCTGGTACAAATTTTTATCACAGCACAAGTGTTATAATATATATGTTTGGCAACTGCATGCAACACTTGCCATCAGACATGTAATGGTTTATAGATTCTCTTATTATAACAATAGATGCAGGCTTTCAATCACACTGCACTGCATTTGCAAATATACTCGACCATAAAGATAGACATAAGGGATGCAGGTAGACATAGGAAATCAGTAATAACTCCCACACAGATCCTGACATGTGAAGGATATGTGACAAAAGTGGCCACTGCCTTGAACGGCAGACTAGAAGCTCACAGGTGGAGGTCAAACGTGTGGGGGGAGGAGAAGAAAGAGGAGGGAGAAGTAGGTAGTCGTGTGTGTCTACTCTCCTCCCATTACGTTACCCTGCAGCATGGGGTCAATGCCAGGTGTACCCCACAGACTTCCACTGCTTGACCAACCACTGTTTGCAGTTGAAGTAGCCCAATTATTAGTGGTGCCACTGTTTAAGCTACTGTTCCAGCCCGAGGTTTCGGCAGATGTTCCTTGCTGGGTTCCCCCTTTGCGAGACTGTTCGTTGAAGAAGCGATCAATGTCTCCATCATTAGCAAAGTCGGCCAAGATGGTAGTGTTTCCCAGAACACATGTATTAAGGCTCCTCTGGGCTTTGAAAGTCTCCTCCTTGGATGAATAATGAACCAACGCGTTGCCATTATTCAGACTGAGGTAGAACGTGAGTAGGGGGCCATGCTGAGCACAGAGTGTCTTAAGCGTTGACCCGTCAATCTGCAATGGATAAAGTGTTCTGAGTAACAAAGCACAACCGGTAAGAGCTGGAGTCTGTTCGACACTGTTTAACAGCTGCTTTTCATGAGTTGGTGAAGGGCAAATGCACTGCAAAATCAATAAGTGCATTACGCGCAGTTTCCAAATGCCACGATCGGCTGCGTTTGTTTGTTGATTATTGACTGTCTGTCTACGTAGCTGTGAAAACACTCCGTAGCACACAACATGAAACAGGTTTGCACTCACGGAAGAAACTCAGTTTTCGACAATTCAACACAAACCGTTGCAGTGCGTGTAAATGGCACCTATAATTCACGGCGGCTTACCTGAGGAGTCAGATTCCTGAGAACGAGCCAGGTAGTCGCTCTATCATTTCTGTCCCATGATGATCCACCGGGTGCTAAACATTCGAGAACGATAGGTTACCGACACAGGTTGTGAAAGGGCTGCACAGCAGTAACTGCTTTAATACATCAATTTAAATGCAATTTGCAAATGATACCAACGTGTCCCAAATTTACAATAGATGTGCCCCCCCCCCCTATATTCTAGCATTTCGTGAACATTTTTAATCAAATGTTTTTAGGCAAAACGACTGCAGTGACAATTGATAGCCCCTATGTAATAAATGTTAACATAGAATTTCACAATAACTAGGCTAACTCATGTGCTAGCAACCATGTTAACTAGCAAATATATTGTCCTTGTGCATTAAAATATTTCATTATCTGACTGAGTATTACCCATACTGAATATTAACTGAGAAAATTTGGGAGGCTAGTCAATTATCATAATTTAACTTCAACATTCTTTTAAATTCAATGACTCTCAATTATTCACCATCTGCAAGCTACGTACGTTATGCTACGACGCATTAGACCTGTGATCGGCAGGTGAAACAAAATCAATACACATACAGCATCAACTACCAACACAATGTTTTATATCACAACGGGAACAAGTAGAACTTACTGTTGCCATATGAGCGGTTGTCACTCCACTGTCGTGAATACTGGCCCCCTTGTCCAGAGCCTCCTTGCACATTCCAGCCAGACTTGTTGTGCTGTGCGAAACCAGGTGGTGGGCGGTTAGCGGCAGGGTTGTTCTTTGGTGGATATGGAGCGCCCCACAGCTCGGACGTGAGCGAGGTAGGGGGGTGGTTGGAAGGATGTTCACCAGTCCAGTTGCCACTGGCCTTACTGAGCACCTTTAATGCAGACGTATTGCTTTGGCTTGGCAGGCCCGGAGGGAAAGACCACGTGCTGGAGGTGAAAGACATATCGGCGGGACTAGTCTTCGTGTCGGCGCTGGCATTGCTCGAGCTGCTGGCGACGCTGCGCAGAATGTTTTCCGGCTCTTTAATGGTGTTCACCGAAAGCGAGCGAGCGACGCTGCCCGGAGTGATATGTGGGTCGTCCTCAATGTTCTTCTGAGCTCCGTAGCCTCTCCATGGCTTCCCCGGCTCAAACTCGGGAATGGACGAATCGGAGAGGTGGTGAGATTCCTTGCTGTCGGCCGAGGGCGCGTTCATGTGGCCCTCGCTGGACGGCCAGCTTGAGCCGGCCGTCGCATTCACTGACCACGTGTTGTCTCCCTGGGCAACCGGTGGAAAGAATGCGCTGAGAGGCTCAAACTGCTGCATGTTAGGGCTGGAATGCGAATGTGCCATGACCGGCTTTCCAATTGGCCCGGGTGTCTTGAAGTCGTCAAATTCTTTGTCAGGGGAGGGGCGTTTCCATATGTTGAAGCGTGATTGCGGCTGGCCCTGCTGCTGATAGTCTTGACATTGCTGTCCTGCCATCATGGCATCCATCTTCTCGTCTCCTCTGACTAGACCCTGCAACCACAAACCATTTTAACTGCTCAATAAGTTTCCGCACGAATTGCAAAAAGTATGCCACATGCACGCACGCACGCACGCACGCACGCACGCACGCACACACGCATATGCAAGCACCTTTACAGCGATATGTTATCCGGCAAAGTAGCTACTAACTAAATGGACCAGTGACCTTCGACCGAACTAAACTCACCTGTTGGGGATGCTGCTTGTATAGCAGTTGCTGCAATGTCTGTTGTTGCTTCTTCATCAGGTCACTTATCTTGCCAATCTGATGTTCAACCTCACCGAGCTGTTGTCGTTGGGCAAGAGGATTTAATCCCTTGTTGTGCACAAGCAGCTGTAAAAGAAAAGCAAGCCGAGATTAATGATTAGCGCCAAAGCGAAACCTGTGTAGGTGTCAAACGCAATGTCAATTGCAAAGATAAGATTGTGAACATGAGAATATTAACTCACAAATACATAACTTAAAATGGGAGATAAATTTGGTTGTGTTCACAGTTGAACCCAGCCACAATAGATCACGGTAAAGCTACTCATCTTGATAATTAGTGTCACGCTGTACGTTGTAGCACCACGTTTGTATGTTGCAAATCACCTCTTGCTTTGAAAATTCAACCAGGATTCACAAATACGATTGTATTTTTAATTAAACCTATTTTCCACTCACAGACTACTCAACTGGAGCATTACACTTCTGCTTGTCAACATTGCATGCATACCTGTCTGTGAGTGTAGAGCTGCTGCACAATGTTTTGGTACTGCAGCAGCTGTTGAATGCTCGCAAGAACCTGCGGGTTCTGCTGACTCAGCAGCTGCGGGTGTATAAGTCCAGCCTGCATAGCTTGCCGAAGTTGCGCCTGAAGCTGCTGCACCTGCAGCTGTTGCATGATCTGCAATGACAATTCCAACATCGCCATCAGACCACGATGCTTTGTGCACAGCTTCCATTTCCATAGCAACGGTCCATCTGCAATTAGCTCCTTTATTCACAAATTGAAGCCTCACGGCAGGTGCCCGTGTTATTTTTTGCATCCTACGTACCTGTGGGTTGATGGGCCCTCCTGTACGAGGTGCATGTCCTTGCTGTTGCTGAAGCTGCTGCTGCTGCATCAGCTTCTGTACCAGTGCAGGATTAATACTGCTAAGGTTGTTTAGACTAGAGTTGTTGAGGTGACTAGCAGATTTGGTGACTGACTGATTCATCAGGTTGTTGGCTGGCAAAGGCACGAATGGCATGTTTAGTTCACCGTGGGCATCACCAGAGGCGTCTGGGTCCATTTCGCTGATACCTCTCCCCTTGAGGCTGCGCATTGGTGGTGGCATGTCATGTTTCATATCCATGTTAGCAGTAGCACCGGGCATCATATCACCTGCTAATGAGAAAAGCCGCGTATCTACTATCAGGATGTGAAACAAGATACCACATAAAATGACATTGTATTATCAAACTAGATATAAACAACCTGTTGAGTAGCAACCTTCCCCATGGTTATTAATAAAATGATTGCCTAGTTCTGATAAAACTCACGATGTAATCAAGATAAAACAAAGATTTCAGTAAGACGCTATTAGATATTTTGCAATTCATTTAAGATAAGAAGAACCTATTATAAAGACGCTGATACAACGAGATTAGAATCTATAGAAGATTAGATTAGATTAGATTTGTCTTCTACTCTCATCTTATATAAATGTGATGATTACAAGTTTCCATCTTTGTAAATGCATAATTTTTTCTGAAGCAATCTATAGATTGAACAATACTAAATTGTCACAACAGTATATAGTTTAAACAATCTTCACTGCCACAAAATAAATGTTTTTTGCATAATTTAGTGCTTTTAATAACCACAGTTGGATTGCAACTGCATTTACTTTCCTTAGTACCCCCATTCATGCTTTATTCAGGTAAATCAGTAATCATTAACTTTATGCTTCAGGTAAATCAAACAGGTACTTACATAAATATAAAATATATAAAACTAACCTAATAATAATAAACAAACAACATTCTTACCATTTGCATCTAGGTTCATGTGATTCATTGAGTTATTCATGATAGCAGCTTCAAGATCTTCTTTCTAAACATAGAAAAAGGCAAACAATAAGGCAAATTATAACTTAACCTACCTATGTGAACAACTTATTATGTACTAGGCAGTACACAAACTGTTTGAAAATTCACTGACCACAATTTAGTAATGCTACAAAGCAGAGAAAACTATGCCACTTGCATTGCCATTGACGAATTGCATTGCCAGTAATCAGATAACCCCCACCAACTATTCAGTTTAGGAGCACGTAGGAAAGCACGCCTGCACCAATAATTTATCTCATCAGGTCTTTTTAAAGCGTTAGATACACAACCAGTCGTAGGTTTCTACCTGATCAATAGATCAATAGTGAGGAGGTTGAGGACTAATGTGGATTTCCACGTGACATGGTATCGATTCAATGCTGTAGATCCAACAGAGATATAAATAATGTAACTTGACACTGTACGTGACCAATTTTGTAAACGTTCTCTTACATATTCAAGCCCATGCTATTGTGCACTCTGCACTCTGCACTCTGCATTGTGCACTCTGGTTTTGAATACATACACTTCAACGAAAATGGCATCTGAACATGTCCCACATTCATTTCAATCCAACAACATACAGCAGTTTCAGAAATCCTACCAAGCGTGACTACAGCTCCTGGCTTGCCGTATAAACTTGACCTCTCTAGCAAGGTCATATTTGATATGAAGGAAAAATCAATAGCGTGCGGGTGCACTTAATCACAGCAGCAGCAAGCCAGTGTGCCACACATCTCCTGATATTCTGCAGCAGCAGCAGCAGCAGCTCACACTCGGGCAGACAAGAAATATAACAGTATTTTCAAACAGAATGTCCCCAACCCATTTAGCAAGGGAGAATAAGAGCTTTTGCTGTATGCACTTGCTTGACTATATACAAATTTGTGTATAACCTCGCACCACCCACCCAAAGGAAAATCTAGACTGCAATAAATCTAGCAAATAAATTGAATATAAATTGATGCAGTGCATATAAACGCTTCATGTAGACATAGATGGTAAAGCCAAGACATGTTGTGGGCTTTGAGTTTAAGGTTAGGGTTAGCCAATTGAATTGGCTAGAAATTCACTGTAATTCAAACTGATGACAATATAGCACAATTTGAATGCACTACGTACAGTCCATTTTGTCATGATTGGCTAATGTGTTGAGCTTAGCAGGCAACTTTCCTATAGTCTATAGCAGTAAATGAATACACAACTTTTTTGTTAAATTATTTGGAAGACTTGAAAACTGCAATACATATATGCCAAACTTGTACGAAAATTATGGCACGAATTGGTGTCAAACATAGAGGCTACGAAATAGTTGTTAAGATTCCACAGCAAAAGATAGTTTGGATTACAAATTAGTAATTACCCAGTGGACTACTAACCATGTACTAACATTCATGCTAAACGACAATGACAACATACAATGTGCATACGTACGTGCACACAACAAAACAACACAAGCGAATTCATGAAAACGATTATACAACATTAACGACGTTTTTGCCACAATTCATTCATTCAGTTCACTTCACCATAGCACTGCTATACTTACAACATGTACAACGAAATTGCAAACATAAATTGCATCACTCATCCATAAATGCTATGTACACCATATTATGCAACAATTTGATGAAACCTCAATTCTAAGGCTCACCACCCATAACTCAACATCATGTCTAGAAATTTTCTGCCAAATTACATGTGACATACTATGGTTATATGTGCATACAGACTGATTCCCAAGGCTGAACTACATCAAACAACTATTCCTGTATCAGGGGGCATACGCAATGCCACTGGCATACGTCCGTCCGTCTGTCAGCCCTTGAGGCGTCAACAACAGAGGTACAAATCTAAAAGGCTTGATTTACGGTACTGATATTCGGGCAGTGTGTGTAAGTGGGGGGAGGGGTGTAGTCAAAACGTAATTGGGTCGAATCTGGGGTCAAGGATCAAAGATCAAGAGTTGTGAGGGGAGGGGTAATATCCCCCCTTTAACTTAAAGTATATCACCAGAATTGCACACACGCAGAATTCTTGCACTAATGTAAACGGCTTGACCAATGCTCTTGATAATTGGTACAGAGTCATAGTGAGAAAAGCTATCACTCAAGGAAAATTGGAGGTCACATGCCAAAAGGCAGTGAGGCAAAGGGCAGGTTACAAACGACTTTGAAAGACATTGTCTGAAGAACCGGACGTAAGAGTTTTCGTGCTGACCCTGCTTGGTCGTTGGTGCTTGCTTCATTACTTCATTGAAAGGACCACATCACGTACTTTCCACATTTGTGACGGAAGAGTAACCATCCAGTGACCCTTTCATCCTCAAGAGGAAAGTTAAACATTGATTTCTTCACTATTAACAAAGGTCTGAAATGCTTTTGCTAGTGGGGGCCCATATTTGAATGTGAAAGGCTAAAATTTCACAGATAAAATTTAAAAGCAAAACTTAGTTGAACAAGGTTTAAACTGCTTAAATCAGATTGTCTGTATAAGAAGCATTCTGTACCTCAGATTCTGTTGTTGAAATAGGACCCAGCATATTTCCTATTTCAAAAATGCATATAGTTAATTACTAAATTGACTACAACTGGGCAGGTGTGGGATAGCGAATGCTAGGAATACTGTATGCAAATCCGTACACTTTTTGCATCATGATCGATACTGAATTTCCTATTTGATTTCGCTGTGCATCTACTTCAGCCACATTAGTCTAAAATTGCCAAACCTCAACATTTCATTATCATGCCACCACGACACACCAAAACACAGCATTTCACTGAAATTTCACTTCTTATAATCGAGTGTACAGAAACCAACTAGAGTTCAGAATATCTCAAATGATAGCATGTTTGACAATGCCGTGAAAGTCAGTTTAAAGCCGCACAATGCGCATCCAAACGCTAATTTCTCCAGTACTAGACTAGCAAATACTTCGTGTCATGCATAATCACACTACCTTATGACAAAATAAACTCTAGTTCCTCCCATTTCACTGCGCATTGTCTTATAAAAGGTATTTGAAAATATCTCCAATGTTGTTCAAATTCTCCGATGTTGTTGACAGTTTCCCCAAGCAACCGTGCAGCGGTGCTACAGTACAGCGGTACGGGTGTAGCAAAGCATAGCAAAGATAAAAACATGTGACGTCACCAAACCAAGTCGAGGCTATGTTGTTTGGCAAACAATTTAGCGTTGGCGCCAGATTACCTGATTTCGCACCTCTTTCTTGTTGGTTTTAAGCAAACGCGCAGTCAAATGGGAGGAACTAGAGTTTATTTTGTCATAAGGTAGTGTGATTATTCATGCCACGAAGTATTTGCTAGTCTAGTACTGTAGAAATTAGCGTTTGGATGCGCATTGTGAGGCTTTAAGGCTCTTTATAGGCGGTTACATTTTGCCATTTGCCCTCTTATTTGCAAATTTCCCAATTAAAAATATCTATGCAATAAAGAAATTTTGCTTCTACCACAACAAATATACACTGCACTATTATTTACTCATAAAATCTAAGTCATCGTTACTTCATTCCTGCCTTTACTGGATCCACTTATAAATAGTTTAACTCTTTTCCACCAGTCAGATGAGCACTATTACACTGCAGCTCTGGCACTATACACTGTTATACATACTTATATTCTGATAACACCTCAAAATGAATCCCCTGCCACAGGTCAGCTGACAACTAATTTATTTAAGAATGTTTTCACCAATTACCTTTCACGCAGAGCGCCATGTGTAATCTCCTTTTTATTTCATTAGTAATAAATTGTGAAATAAGCGATGCCAGTGTGACCTATTAATTCTAGTGGCTGCATTCTCACAATAATGCGCACTAGTCAATAATAGCAGCTCTTTATCACACTTTGTTATGTTCATTCACAATGGATCCTATGTGACATTATATATTTGAGCCTGAATGCAATCAAGAGGACACAGAGATTAGGCAGGAACACACTTGAGGAATGCAAACCAGTCAGTTTTATATAGAGAAACAGCGAAGACTGCAGGACCACAAAATGTGTTAATGTGATGTGAATGTGAAAATTGCTTGTTAGCTGCTAAATCGAGGGGAAACAGATGCTGGCAGGATATTCATGGAACAGTACGGCTTCTACAGGACCATTCTGAATAGTCTTAAGGTAAAATTGATCCTTCTATTGCGCAACACAATAAATGAACTTTGCAAAACTCCTATTATCTGGTTGCAATCAGAAAATTGCACGTGTGCGCCATTTCTACACATTTAAAGGGCTTATTATGAGTGTTTGCTCGTCTGCAAATTATATTTTGGATTCTCCATAATTGTCCGCTTTTGTCTGTAGTTCCACTTAGCTGTCTTAATCTCTGTCTAACGTCAGCAAATAGTCCATAATTTTACACTTTATGTTACATATGATTCTCGTACAAACAGAACTGTTATGGTCTACAGACTCTACTTTCACTTTCTATTCCTGTAGTAGTTACAGTGATCAATCATCCCCTACATAACTGAATGATACGTCACGACCGTTGTATATTCAGTTACAACAAAATATTGATATAGCCTCCAGGAGCCCGTTTTCAGAAACAAAATTAGTCTTAAAATGAACTTTTTCACGTAGACCGTATAAGAAACGCATAACTTTACCATGTTTACCATGTTTTTGTCAACGGCCCATGAGAAAGTTTATGGCAAGACTAATTTTAAGAATAATTTTCTATCTGTCAACAGGGTTCTCCCCAGGATGAAATTCAAAACAGCGGGCGAGAGGAGGGGAAGGGGATGAGGGAGCGGGTGGAGGGCAGGAGGGGCGAAAACTAGGGGGTCGCGGCTGGGGCGTTTTTTACGTACCACCTAATTTAATGGCCGTAAATGACTGATTAGACGGTATTTGGGTTCTGTGCTCTATATATAGATAGGCCGATTCGGATGCATCACAAGTTAGTGTGGGTGCATGTGGGACAGCGTTGACTGTTTGCCTACTTGTGTATTGTCTGCAGTGCATGCGTTGCACGGTAAAAATTACTACGCCGGGCTGTGTCCTGGTCGAATCGCGCGAAATTCTATGACGATTCCGATTACCTGGGCTGGCCCCAAACTTTTATTGTCCCGCGTGGAAGACTTTTAAGATGGTCGGAGGCAACGAGTAATTGTTAAGACGTGGGCGCAACGATTAGAAAAACAGGGTCGCCGAGTTTTTCGCCAACACGGGGCGGTCGGCGGCTGCCGGTGTTACTCGCACGCGCGCCCCGTTTGCGCAACGAGGGGAGAACCCTGTGACAATAATCCCTGGCAGGAAACGCTGAACACAGGACACCTCAACATGATTTGAAAACAACTGTGCATGGCAGTCGCATGAAAATTGAAAGTCTATTATATTGATATACAGACTGCTAATGGATTATTGTCACATAAATATTCTAGTATAAAGTGCCAGTGGTGAACAATAGTTAAGTAATGCCATCATACCTTCAGAACTCCTATGGCCACCAGGTGTCTCACCTTGTCATTCATCGTCCACATGTCTCTATTACTATTAGCACCCTGCATAACAGAGAAGATAGAAACATAGGCCGAACAATTAAAAAGAACCCATACTGTCAGAATTTTCTATAGATGCAACACTACAAACGAGGACACTTAAACGAACGTGCGACATAGCCAATTACCAGTCAGTGCACACTCCGTAAGAATGTCGAGAATCAAATGCAGATCTACAAACACACGCACCACCAATCACCAAGTCAGAGCAACTAATGTCAATCTACACTGCTACATTAGTCTACGTGTTAATCTACTATCAGTGTGTACCCCTTATCTATGTTACCTTGCAAGACGTCATTCATCTGAATTGAACCATCCTCATGACTGTGCACATTTTACCACAAACGAATACCCACCTATATCCGAGACCAACACTCAGGGGACATTTTAGCAGGAATTACACTAAGCATTAAGGGAGACTTCCAGTTCTTCCTCGATGCCAGTAATCAGCTGCAGGGATGGAAAGCAGCCATGCTTACCTTAATTGGCTTTCTGCCAAGAGGAGGGTGATTATTCCAACCTCCTGGGTTCTTAGGCATATTGGTCTGGGATGCATCCCATTGGTCAATCTCAGTAGAGTCCCAGGTACCCGTGGCTGTGCCATCAGGGTCCCAACCCTCAGCAATGTCCTATCAGATAAATAACACCTACGTGTGAGAAGAACCCAAAACCCAACATCCAATTGTTGCGTTCAATTTTCCAATTTCTGACGACCTGTTACCGTCCATTTATTTGACAGCAGGCCCTGTTCGATAGCACGCATTTACTCATGGAAAGCAGCGACAATATGAAAGCTTTATTCGTATCAACTCTTGAGAAGATCAACATAGTTATATACGTACCCGTCTCGGATTTCCGCTGCCAGTGTTGCTACTGTTGTTACCTTCGTCCCACTGGCCGACGGATCTTGGCCAACCCTGGTTATCCCAGCGTCCGCGCGGCGCGTTAGGCTGAGCGCCCGGAGCGCCCCACACTCCAGTTCCCGTGTCCACTTTCGGAGGTGGGGCAGAATTCGGATCACCCCAGCCGAGCCTAGGTGGTCCCTTTTGCATGTTAGGTTGAGGGGGTGCAGGAGGCGGCCCCATAGAATTCTGCTGCCCCATAGAATTTTGCTGCCCCATAGAATTCTGCTGCCCCATAGAATTCTGCTGCCCCATAGAATTTTGCTGCCCCATAGAATTCTGCTGCCCCATAGAATTCTGCTGCCCCCACCCCACGTCCTTGTGCGGCATCTAGGTACATAAAACATACAACCGTCTGAACTGAAACGTTAACTGTTTCTTTTACAATTGTGTACACACCATCAGTTTGTATCTAACACAACAACATGAAATGAATTTAGTTAAAAACGCCTTCTTACGACAAAAATACAACTTCCTTAATGTTAAATATTTTACCGGTGGTGGTGGTTGGGGCAGAGGAGTCTTTGGAGTGGTAGGGGCAGAGTCGTTCCACTTCTGCACAGGTGCGTTGCCCACCGAAGAAGGATCCCCCCACGCACTTGTACCATCGTCAACACTAGTGACTGGAACACCCCTACGCTTGTTTGGTGGAGAAGGCTCCTCCCAGCCTGCAAATGTGGATGGCACAGTAGAAGAGCCAGCAATGTAATCAGATATCTTCCGAAATTCATGAAAATATGTCATATACACAAGCGTGGCAACATGCACATTCACAGAAAATGCACAATTCGTTATCTATTTGACTAAATTTGCTACACAGCCACTAAATCTCATAACTGGTGCCTCATACGATAATGGATGTGCAAACACAATCACATGCATCTGCACACCATTTTAGTTTACGACACAAGAGACAAACTAAGCCGAGAATAAACACTTTATGATCGGGACAACTTTGCACTACTCATCTAGATTCCCTCAAAATTCATGCATCAAAGTTGCTCCACTTACTAGATGCATTGAAGATTGTACCTGTTGCTACAATCTGCTCGTCCGGTGCCGGGGGATCGCCCACCCAACCTGATGCCGAGCTCGCAGCCGTGGGTCCGTTGCCCCACTGGTTGTCACCGCCGCCCGGTCCGTGATTGCCCCACTGACTGCCGCCTCCGTGCGGCTCCTGCGCGCCCCATGACGACGACGACGAGTTGGAACGGCGCCAGTGCTGCGCCGTCGAGCTCGGCGCTCCCGGCGCGCTGCTGCTGCTGCTCGTCGGCGCGCCGCTCCACTGGCCGGAACCCTCGGGCTCGCCCCAGCCGGACGCGCTGCTGCCCGTGCTGCTCGTGCTCGCCGTGCGTTTGGTGACGCATGCACCGGCGGCGCCCTCTGCGCCCGCGTTCTGGTGCAGACTGGCGCTCTTCGCGGCGAGATGCGCCTTCCACATGCCGATGCCCGTCTTCGAGTCTGGCTCCGGCGAGTCGGTCTCGCCCCAGCCGGCCGCCTGATTGACGGGCATCTTGCCCCAGCCGTCCATGCTGTTGATAATGGCGGCGACGTCGGCCGCCTGTGACTTGTTCTGCTGCTGCTGCTGCTGCACGTTCGACTGTTTGCTGCTGCTGCTGCCGCTGCTGCTACTGCTGCTGTCAGACGTTTTGTTGAGACCCTTGCCAGCTGCCTGTGCCCACGTGTTGGGCGACTTCGATGGCGGCGGCTGGGTGGCGCTAGTGGTCGGAGCAGTCCCAGACGATCCCCACGCTGCAGTGCCCACTTTATTCCAATCGGCGCCACTGGTGGTGGTAGCAGGTGCGACGGTGCCTGCTGAACCACCCCAGCCAGAAGGCTTGCTATCCCCCCAGCCACCACCTGCTGCCCCTGTCGGCCACTGGGCGCCGGCGTTGCTCTCAGGACGAGCGTGCCCAGTGGCATTCGGATTGTTTTCGGGAATGTTATTCCATCCGTTAGCGGATTTTGCAGTGTTGGAATTAGCGGGGCCATTTCCACCTATTGCCAGATCTTTCCACCCTCGGTTTCCTTGTTGTGCAATGATACCAGGTCCGTAGTTAGTGTGAGCACTAGTTGGGTTCTGAACGGTTGATGGAATTTGATTGTTCTGGTCACTGCTCCCACCAACAATGCCATTGCTGCCCCGGTTACCTGGCACCTGAGAGTTCTGTGCATTGATGCTATCACTCGTTGCATTCTGCATATTTTGTCCCTTGTTTTCGGTGTTATTGTTGAATTTGGCATTGGGAGTCATTCCAGATTGTCCCCAGGTGGAACTCCCACCTCCCATGCCCCAGCCACTGCCTGCTGCACTATTGCTGCCATGCATGGAAGAACCTGAACTTTGACCTGCATTTGACCCCTGAACCATGTCGCTACGACCTTGGTTGCTTGAGCTAGATATCACAGAACCAGAATGTTGCGAGGCAGAGTCATCACCTCCATCCGATGTATTTTCCGACTTGTCACCCATTGGCGGCCATTCGGACTTTTCCTTTTCCGCGTCACCCCAGCCACTGCCTCCTTGGCTTGGCAAGCCCCAGCTGGAGAAGTCTGCGTCTGGGGCACCTGGTTCCGCCCAGCCGTCATCCTCATCTCCCCAGCTGGAGTAGTTGTTGGCCCACTTACCATTGTCACTTTGTTTGCCTGTGAATGGAAATTCTCCGCATTAGTATTCTTAGTTCTACATTGTATTTGTTTAAAGATAGCATGCCCCAGTGTCTCTCTCATCAAGCGATTTTATTTCATAAAAAAGCCCAATGCAAACAGTCAATGTTGCCATACAAAGATGACCATGCACTTGCACATCAATACAGTTAGTGATCGTAATGCGTGCAAAAAAACGGTACCTCGACCTGCGTCATCTAGTTTTACCGTGCATCTGTACTATCAAATACATACATCATTATCTTTGACAATATGTAAATAATCGCTCCATGTTAGAACCGTTACTACACAATGTGATAAACATGTCTTCTTAATAGTGTTGGCAAAACATCTAGACGGTTGTGTTATTTGCCTACCGGTGACAGATCGCTTCTGCTGCGTAGCCATCACTTCTCTGTTTTGCTGCATAGCTCTCAATTCTGATCGCTTGATCAGTTAATTGTTGCACTTGTAAAAGGCACGGATTATTGGCCTCGCTAGCAGTTGCGTAACGAAGCGCAATGTGTCTATGTCTGTATGCCTGTAGTGCCACAAGCACTAGCTGCCTGTGTTCACTCTCACTTCAGGTCGGTCACTCCTCGACAGCTGCCCGCGTAGGGTAACCTCACATCGATACAGCACTTTCCTGCAAGGTAGAAATTATGCAAACTTGCACTTCTCGTACGTGCTCACACTGTATCTATCCGACTCACGATCTCTTGTTCTCTCACCCATGCTCACTCTCTCCCTCTCAATCTCACGCTCACACCTAGTACTCTCCTGTCTCTTCACCTTGTGATCCCTCTGTGTTGTTGTATAAAATCTTACAGTTACATCCAAAACTACATTTTAATTATTAACAAATAACTACAGTTACACCTTGATTTAAAGTGATTACGTCACGAATTTCTAGCACCATCAAGTAGTATATTTGTGTTATTTGTACAAAATAAAATGTATGAAAATACAATTAGTGTTTCTGTTTACTTTTCATGCTTATATATACTTTCTTTATAATATATGCCCTAATTTGCCGGTGAAACCCCGAGAGACGCCAGTATCTGAACAGTACTGGGGGAATAGTGTTAGACAACAGAAATTACCAAATCGTCTAGATTTTTGCAAATTTAACCAACGTAAAAACATTTTTATCAGGTGAGAGTTTGAGGATATATTTAGTAACGTTTTTTTTTTACAAATTTTACCATAGAAAATTCGTGACATAGTCAATTTAAGATGTTCACCAATCAAATATTGTTTACAGTGTAAATAGGATGAAGAAGTTATACATACTGAAAGTGGATCACTGAACATGAACATTCTGTATAAAACTGATCGATTTAAAAATTAAGATACCACATAATCACAGGGCACTTAGCCCAAATACATACCTTATCTATGCTGAATTCTGTGTGGAAAGTGTTGTAGCTATGGTCACCCTAAAAAAGACATAGATATTTTGGCTATACGGTGAACTATCGTCAATCACAGGTAAAATCTGCATTGAAACAGCATATAACTATAAACAGTTGTCATGGTATAGAGTAGCTGCGTTCACACGAGGATTTCAGTACCGTACTGAGTGTTCACACGGTAAAAATATTCAAGACTTATACGCGGCCTCCCAAGTACCGTACTGAAATACGAGGCTTATTCGGCGCGGAAAGTGATTCCGCGCTGAAACAACGGCACCACGCTGGCCGCGTATTGTCTGTCGTGTGAACGCAATTCGAGGCCTCGTAAGCCGTGAAACTGTAGTGCGCTACATTGATACTAGGCGGCGCAGTGTCGTTTTTTACTTAAGGCTCATGCCATTGAAAATATTTCTCCGAATTTCCTTTTGATAATCGTCTTCATCCCCAAAGCATTCGTAATGTTCATCTGGATCATCATTTTATGTAATTTTACTGAAAAACTGCCACAAACAACTGACTTTCATGGCGCCGCCATCATCAAAAACACTTCCCTCTAACCGAGAAATTATTTACCATTATACCTAGCCAGTTAAGCCTTGATTCTCGTCTGAACGCTACTGTTTGTGTTAGCACGGTATTTCAGCCGAATTCAGCACTATCAGAAAGATTTTAGTCAGAACATTAGTCACATTTGTAAGTGTTTCTCATACACCATTGTCAGAAACATCGAAAAGTTACAAGAATAAGCCCAATGCCCTCAAGTGGCCGTTCATAACTAAAAAAAACAATTAAAAGAACAAAATTGCAATCATATGAACACTATACTTAATATTTCCTAGAAAACTCTTTTCATACTTTTCATGATACCCACTTTGGAAATACTTACCTAGCAATCTTATTATTTCCCTATTCCCAAAAGTGGTTATTGTTCTAAAAGATAAGAGTCCTGATGATTGTGTTTTACAAATTACAGTACCATGTCTTGCAGTTGCAGTGAAAAATATACACATGACCCATCATACTGGTCATCTTTCATCGGTTATTATTGGTATGTGGTTTAACTATGATAATGTGCATGTCTAATAGCTATGTACAATACTTATATTGGAATTTGAGTTGTGTGATCAATTCTCAACCAATCAGTGGTTTTATAACAGAAAATTACCAGGCTCATTTTTCGTAAATGAGCTTCCAGCAACCTTGTATTTCTATCAATGCTCTTCTCATCTCATAACATTAGTCGTACACTACAGTCATATAGCGTGAGTTACAAAAGAAATGCATTGAAAACACTTATAACGTAAAATTCCAAAAGGCAAATCACTTTGTCATACTGATTTCCATTACATAATTGGAGATCATTACCTTTATTAACATAAGGTTTATATTTTGCAATTACCGAAAACCATTGATTGTTCAGTGAACTATATCAGTGATTATGTTTTACTATGCCATTGATGCATTGCCATAGAGCCAAACACAACTGCAAGTAATCAATAGTTCAAAGCATTGCTAGACTCCTAATTATGGTAATACTGGGAGGGACATATAATTAAGAATAAGAATCACTAGAAGAGAGAGAGAGGGAAGCTGGCATGTTTTTGTTACCACTGTCCCTGTTTAAAGAGAGAGTTTACTCTAGGTTCTAGCGTTATTTTCAGTTAATTTAGGTTATAATTACGCTACATAAAAAGTTTCATGGTTCAATCACCATTAGAAATATTATTCAAAAATGTTTTAAAACTAACGACTACAGTTTGATTACAACGACGGTGGCGCCACTCAAAGCGCACGATCTGATGAGTTGCGCAAAACCACTTTTCAGCCAAGGGCTACAGACTGAGGGTGTTTTAAAAGCAAAAGGATTGTAATATCTTATAAACGACATATAGTTTCAGTTATAATATGGATAAATTTGCCCTAAAATGAATATCGTTCGGTTAAATAGCATTTAGGTATCAATATAATTGCACTTTTGTGATTAGCCCTCGGTCTGTAACGTGCAAAATAAATTGTCAAATACGCAACTTTTTCGGGGTGGCAGCACGGTCGCGGGTGTCAATGGCGCCGTTCAAATTTCGTAGCGTTGATGTGTAATTAATTATAACAATTAAATTAGGTATCTGGTAACAAATACGTGCGGGTATAGAGACTATAGACGATTTGTTATACAGTAAGTACAGTTGTATGCAGTAAAATCCTAGAGTCTACTATCCCTTTAAGTTTTTAATGTTTCAGGCTGTGATCTGAGGTGCCAAAATTGATCTAGTTGGTTGCTATTCATGGTGGATCTTAGCTTATTGTAGCTGTGGGAGATAAGATCGTTATGAAATAATTAAACAACACTCAGGGTTTCTTCTGAGGGAAAATTTGACAACGACGGTAATGGCCAGTTTGGGGGAAAAAACGTGCATGATGGATTCAAAGGCGTGCAGTAGGGGGGCGAATGCACTGATTGTTACAGTCGCTTGGGTATGATTATTGCTGTATATATGTAGGGGTGGGCACCACACTGGTATGAGGGAGCGACAGCAAAACTTTCCCGGAATCGAGGAAAAAGCTGCAATCGGGAATGACACAGGAGTGTGCCGGCATGCAAAAAGAAACGTTGCTGTGAATTTCATTACGATTTTCCATGTATATAGTCAGAAGCACCTAGTCGATCTATTTATTTTTGGAGTTAAACTTTTTTGACAACAGCGGGTAAATACAGGAACATTTTCACAACGACGTTGTTAAATTTGACAACGGCGGTGCGCCGCAGTGCCTCCTATGTAGAAGAAACCCTGAACACTGGATGCAAGGGGAACTGATAGCAAGAACACGAACAGTTCACAACAGTGCACGTGTAAACGGTCTAATGCGGAACCTAACACGTCAATTAGTGATGACCCCCCCCCCCAGTGTCGGCAGCTGGCTGCTTCAATAGTTACTACCTGGTGCTGCTTGATAGTTCCACCGGCGCTGCTTAAAAATTGCCTCCCTATCACAACTCCGAAAAAATTTTATGTTAACTTGAGAACTTTGCAAGACCTTACATACACTCTGTAGAAAAAAAAGATGCTCCGGGTCAAGGCCAACATTAAGTGCCCAAAAATAGGTTATTAGACATATAGGTTATTATATTTAAAAAATCAATGCACCGGGAGTGAGTACAACCATGTTCGTACACAACGTGGCTTCTGAAATTCTTGAGAACTCTGCACAATATTTATGTTTCTCACAATGGCACCCGAGTAGCACAGTATATGCTTCTAATGTTCATCGCTTCATCAACACTGGCACGTGACTGATTGAGCAGTCAGGAATGAACTGCCATTTAGCAAATGGCCTGTAATGAAAGACCCATGTTATTACATTCTCGTCAGGCATCAGCAAGCATTGGAAATGCGTTTCCATAGTAATGATCACCTACCTAATATAATTATGAATGCAAAATGTCTTGATAAGACTTGTAAATGATTTAAAATTTCCTCATTAGTACCTCATTAGTTTTAAACCCAAGCAATATACTTCACACATTAATCAGCAGTACAGTTACCAATATCTGAGATGGATTATTCGATAAATTCGTCGAAAATTCCTTGCTGACAATCACCCTTAGGTTCAATGTTCTAAAGATAGACTAATCGATCAGTTACTATGATAAATTAGTGCCTTGAAAAAAGTGCCAAGCATCTGCTGCTTAACATTTAATGAGCAGGTTGTTAAGCAAGCAATTGGAAATGAATCATAAAGCACACTTGATGCAATCAAGTGCTATTCCTTTATAATTGTCTGTCTTTCAAAAGACTTGCATTTTTGGTGCTACCATGCCAAGCAGCATTGTGCCAAGATGAAAAGTAAATAAAACATGATCACAAAATTTATTTTCAACTCGATTAATTTACCCAGGAAGCTAATGCGCAGGCACAGTATACCTTACAACAGCCACGTTGTTTTTGTAGCGTAGTGTTTGTACATGTAGTAACAACCATGGGTGTTGTAGGGTATAAGGTACCCAAATGACCAATGCTCACTGAACTCTTATTTATCGCATCACCAGCACATGACCTCCTAAGAGGTCACACAATTACTGAATTAGTAGTTCTACCAATCCTGTAAATAAAAAAATCCTAAAACATTTTTAACACTATTTCAAGTTTATATTGAACTAAACATTTTGTACGTAGCATAGCTCTAGAACTATAGCCCTCCGCCCCGCCGCAGGAGCAGAGGGCTATAGTTCTATAGCTATACGTAGCACAGCTTACACATAACAAAACTGTAAATAATTCTAAACCATATATATATATATATATCTATGTTAAAGATATACAAAAATTTTAAGCAAAACGCAACTTAAGATTAACAATGTTACCATCAAACACTATTAGTCTTCCATAATTTTAAGATGGTTCAATGCGTTCGTCATTAATAAAAATTGGTCGTTAATACTCTCTACAGTATGTGGCACACATACACAATGTTAGTATTTACTATTTAGTACAACAATTAGATTCAATTTTAAAATATGTAGACGCTCTTATTTCGACTAGTTCACTACCTCTCACTAGTCAATATATCACATCACATGGACATTTAGTTGCTGCACCGAGAAGTGATCATTGACTAATTTTCCTTCGTCGATATTTTCATACAATACACTCTACACTTGACAGGGGAAAATGGCAGAAAGAACACGCATATGGCATTGTGGTCAAATAACAGTCAAGCAGATCCAGTCAGGGGAGTGCGATTCCTGTGGTTTGGGCAGTCCAGCCGCAATTTCACCTTGACACACATATTACAGAATTGCTACCAGTACCAGTACCACTAGTGGCACTACCTACCACATGTCCGGACAATTTCGGATGGTGTCAACGACAGCCGATTGATAGCACTCGCCGATCGTGTTTCGCCGCGTAACGTAGATGGGGGATAAAACCCGAGGACTACGCTGACGCAGTATTGCATCTCACAACCATATCACACTGCATCTCACGCAACCACAGCGCCGACGAAGTAAACCAGAAATGGGCGTACGAAGTCAGCCGGTCCGCCATTACTGCAACCTAACCTAGTGCAATCCTCGCGTACATCTTGCGCCTGCTGCTTCTACAGCAGCAAGCCGTCTTTCTAATGCCATATAACTTGCGGAAAACACACCCATAAATCCACTCTGCCGTCTACTTACCATTGTGACTTGAAATCAGGTGAAATCATGATTTCCATAGGCAAAATCAGATCGAGCACACAACTTTGCAGCAATGCCCGGGCGCACAGACAAGCAGAAATACAGAATGAGGTCACGTCGAAAATAGAAGTCCATAAACCAGCCCTGCGCAATAGCGCTACTACGCATCTCGCTTGCCGGCCATTTTCCTTCCCAATAACCAAACAGGCAGGGCAGGCTCGAATGGCTGTAGTCAATACAGCCAACTGTATTTGCGCAGCGGGGTGGGGGTGGCAGGTTGGTGCGCATGCGAAAAAACATACAACATACGAAAATAGCTCATACTAGTCGTGCAAACCCAGAGCCAATCAGGGTTGTGCGTTGCTGCTAATATGTAAATGTAGAACAACATAGGCTATATTATACCAAGAGTAGATAATAAAACATTGTGTTATTATCTACTCTTGATTATACTTATACTTATAGGTTATAGACAACATAGGGTATATAGATGAATATACATACGAGCGTGTAGGCGCAGAGGCAAGCAGGAAGAGAAAAAGATGGGTACACTGACACACATAGGAAAGTATTAACCACGAGAGTATGCCATTTCGATCTGATATATGCTAAGAGTGACTAAGAGATGTCAGTCGTAGTAGGCCGTAGGTTACAATACAATCCGACCTTATACCGGGCCCAATATGAACTCAGCATTTATTTAAAAAAATTCCGTTGCATATATAGTCAATAGCATATATATAAATACAGAATTAATCCATTACTACACTATTACTACCGACTCAAACACTGGTCACGCAAAATAAACGATAAACATAGATAAACCATCACGGCAATTATATCTTGTTTCGTCTTTAGTAGTATCTACTACTTTTTATCTTGACACCTTGGTAATATACTAAATTAAATAAAACGTATTCGTTCATTATCATCACATCACTTCATACACAGATCATAATGTTTAGCCATCTTATTTCAAGACGCTTGCTCGTGCGAGTGTGCGTCCGTGCGGCGTGCGTACTATACGTAGGACTCGGAGCAATGGGAACTTGTGTCATGCAGCGAAGCGTGCGCCACGCGTTATATTGTAGAGTTTATGTACGAAAAAGTAAAAACTGTTTTGAAAGCTAAAATTATATAATTATAATAGAAATGAGTACGCTAAGCTAATCAACTTTTTCATACTTAAAAATAGTCACAATGCTGCATCTACGCATGAATTACTGCTCAAACCTGCACACAAATAGAAAGCTTATATACCGTATTACACCAATTGATGCAATATATCATTTCATGTACGATATTTCAAATACGCATTATACTGTATTTCACATTTCTGTTTCTAGATAAAACACCATAAGCTTAGTGGTAATTCTACTTGCTATTTATTACATTTAAAAACTAAATTTTTGTTCGCAAAGCTGACACTACCCCTGCCTGACACTCCACTACGTAGAAGCTGTTAACAGAATGCAAGGCATACATACATCTAATGCATGGCTTTCACAGCTGCTTATCATTTACGTTGGTCTACACACTGTCTATACATCCACACACCTTCACTTTGTTGTCATGGAAACTATGGATTTTATGCCATGCAGTAGGCATTTTGAAACGTAATGCACGCATTTCTAGATATAAATGCAGAAGCCAAGAGCACACCATGCATACAGCATGTTTAACACACACACACGCGCACGTACAATCACAGCCATACATATTACCAGGGGTTAATAATGACAAACGTCTTTATGACAAATGTATTTATTAACCCCTGATATTATATATATATATAGCATCCTGCATTGACCGCCTCACTCAATTTCTCAGCTGCCATACAGAAATTTGTCCAAAACACCGCCTCGCTGACGAATCTTTTGGCAACTTGAAATAGAGATTCAAGAGACTCATACAATGTGTTCAGAATAGCTTAGAATGCACCAAATTGCACCATTTTTTCAAGAAAAATTCCGGGGAAACAATCCCTTGGACAATTAGCTGGCCAAGCACATGCACTTGCACGAGCACAAGCACATGCACTAGCACTTCGAAACACGCATTGCTAGGACCTCGAAACACGCAAACACACCACACAAACATTTACCGCCTCACAGACCTTTCTGACCAAGGGAAACACTGTATTATATATATATATTATATAATATATATAGTATATATATATATCAGCCAACAATTAGCGGCTCAACACGCTAATTTGATCACAGTACTAGACTAGGCAAAATACTTCGTGTCATGCATGAATCCAAACCTACTATGACAAAGTAAACTGCTAGTCCTCCCATTTACAAACTGCGCGTTGTCGTTATAAGAAGGTATTGATAAATACCTCAATGTTGATTCAAAATTCCCGATGTTGTGTTGACATTCTTCCCCAAGCAACCGTTGCACGCGGCAGCGGTGGCTGCGGTAACAGCGGTACCGGGTGTATGCAAAGATTAGAAACATGTGACGTCACCTAACACTTCGAGGCTAAATTGTTTGGCAAATAAGCCGGCGTTAGCGCCAGAATGCCAGTTTTATCACCTCTTTCTTGTGGGTTTTAAGCAAACGCGAAGTGAAATGGGAGCAACTAGAGTTTATTTTGTCATAAGGTAGTGTGATTATGCATGCCACGAAGTGTTTGCTAGTCTAGTACTGGAAAAATTAGCGATTGGATGCGCATTGTGCGGCTTTAAACAGATGGTGAGGTGATAGTTGCACTATTTACAGGTACTAATTATGGTGCTTTAAATCACCTGACTTATGAAATGTAGAAGCACGCAGTTGTGTAGTCGGGATGGGAAAATTATCATTATCTGCTACAGTATCTGCAGTATCTACAGTATCTGACCAATCTGCATTGTAATTAGATTAAAAAGCGTATTTTTTTCTGAGCAGGAATTCCCAACAGGTAGCCCATTTCCAGCTGATTAGCTCAGAAATTCCACTGTTCACATGCGTGCCAATATCTCATACATGATACACGGAATATTATACAGTCACTAGGTAGAGCATTTGCATGAAGCCCACTATCTCCATAGATGCATATTAAGTTGAGTTTCATTCACTAATTCACCCACAGCACTACACCAGGCCGACCTTTTTACGGACATTGAAGGTGGTCACTGCTAGATTGTTTTACGTCATCATTGGTTCTTTAACGGACCAATTACTGAAGACGGGTCTACCATATCACGCAATCTTCCGAGCCTAGAGCTAGTAGAAGGATTCACGGATTTACACCTTGAGAAAAATCACTGCTCTCGGTGGGATTTGAACTCACAGTCATCGAATTACATGGTGAACACACAACTACCACTAGACCACAGAGCTCTCTACTAGCAGGTGTAAGGAAGCTCTCTTCTACCTCTTGAGATGTAAACCAAACCATTACATATGTGCAGGTGTCTCAAACTACATACAGTTATACACCCTCCCTGCATTATAACAAACAGGGTTATGCAAATTCGTGCATACATAACCTAAGTTATGACCAATTTACAAGGTTCTTTTCACGATATGAAACGAAAATTCGCTATTACGTCTTTTTAAGAAAGAATGAGTGGTTTGGCCAACTTTAGATGAGTTTTGGCTTCCAGATAAGAGCATGACACACCTAAAACCGACAATGATAACGCTAACCAAAGTGGGCCTTTGGTAAGTAATGTCCCTCCCTTTCCCTTCCAGTAATTTAAATTCTAAACTACATTTTCTTTACAGTATTATTATAATACTGTGTTAACCATCATATACGTTTAGCAATGTTTACTTGCATTCACAATTGCCCTTCTAGTACATTTTTATCTGAAAGATTATCCTTAGGAACGCTCCAATTACACATTTACAATTTGTATATATCACGATCATGCTCACAGGCAAGTTCATGAATGCACTTGTAGGCCATGAGCCAGACCCGATAATTTGGGCCATCGGTACCATCTGAGGGGAATAATTATCATTGTGATTTTTGGCAAGGTATACAACCCTAGAGTTAGAAAATATGTGATACTGATAGCATTGCATCGGTGGTAGCTTTTTGTGTGTTATCACCTTGTTTATGTATGCCAGGGATACTGTCAGGGTTACGGACAATTCTCAAACGGTACCTCTGTAAAGGGCATTGCAACATAACAGTTAACTGCTCACCAAATTCAATCAAACACATATCTATTTAATAAAAGAAATGTCTCTCTACGTTCACTAAAAAATAATCGTAAAAAAAACTCATCGCTAATTACATGATGGCAAAAATGGTTAATTTATACCAAAAAATGCTTCTTTTCTTATTTCTCAAAAACAGCAGAGTTGGGGCCTAAACTTTTAACCATGTTCATAGTATTAACTAAAAAACGGTTCCAGATTTTTTTTTTAATGTTTTATTTTAGGAAATAAGTTGAAAAAATTCATGGAAATCTGTGTTATTTTTGTAAGATCGTACAACAGTATCGTAAATCAAGAGCCATAACTTCCAAAATAAAAGAATTAACAAAAATTACAGAGACCATTTTTTAGTTCATACTATGAACAACTTATGGCTACAGGTTTAGGTCCCAACTCTTTGCTGTTTTTGAGAAATGAGAAAAAAACATTTTTTTGTATAAATTCACAATTTTTGCAATGAGACAGTAGTAAGATAGTTAATATATGATGAATGAGTCAAAGGTGAAAATGAAACACAATCTTGTTGTAGAACTTAAAATTACAGAATAGAAAAACAAATGTGGTGTTCCACACTTACATTGCAGTGATGGTAGCCTTTTGTGTGCTATTAGCTGTTTAGTAACCCCAGCCCAAAATAAACTGGCTGCTACCACTAACGGTGCCATGGCTTAGCACGTCACCCGTATCACTGAAAACTATCATCTCATCCCCTGGGGCCTGATCTCATCATAGTGTTTGCAATTCATACAGGCGCAGATAGTCCAGTGCTGATACATAGCAGAACATATGAGTTTAATTGTTTTCATAAAAGGTGGTAGGCCCTACGGAAGTTTCTTTTGCGCATGGTCGCCGCATACCCTAATTAATGGATACCGTGTTTAAATACATGAATTTGGAGAGAAAATGTGAATGACATGTTACAGAATCATCTCAGGACAGTTCTTCACGGCTCTTCAGTGCCAACATGAACAAGCAGATGGGCGCCTACTTCTCCATGCTGCCCATGCAGCAAGAGAGGGCT